ATACATCTAAGTAGTTGCACTAAATATTGTATTTTACTTACACCCATCTCTAGATTTCTCTATCTGTTCACGAAGAAATCTATCCTTGTGAAGATTGGCATCTCCAAACCAAAAGTCCACTTGCTTAGCAATATCAGCAAGCACCTGTTTAACTCGAGACCTTTTCTTTTTTTCTCCGTCTTTTTTCTTTTCAATGCTTTCTTCTTCGATTGCCTTGTCTTTATTTCCATTTTCAGTTTCCATTCCTGTGGAGTAATTCGATAGAATAGAATAAGATTTAGATTAGCTCTTGTCTAAACTTGTAATTGCCATAGGGAGCTCTGGCATAGTGCCTAAGGTATTTTGACTGCTAACTAGAAGGCTGGCAGTTCAAATTAACCAGTCACTTTTCAGCAGCAGCGAGTTTGATTTTCTGTTTATTATGGTAATGTTCACATCCAAGTGCGTCTCACAAAACTATAGAACTCAGCCAGAATTAAAAAATGTACTCAACAAAATTTTGATTTTTTTAATGCTTCCATTTGCTGGAAGTAAAGTTCCAGACAAATACCCTCACTGTTGTCTAGTAATAAATAATAGCATTTGTCTATGACTAAGAGTCCACTGATTGATGCAAAATGAGCTTCCAGTGGAGAAGTTGGGAGGTTCCAGTCCACCTTTCATGAAAGGTCTGGCATCTGACTCCAGAAAAAACCAGCTACTCTGCACACGGGGTCAGATTTGACTTTATCCTTCCTAGAATGTAAGACACAAAATCAAAGTCCTTGGCATGAAACTACCCAAAATGTGTTCAAGAAATTTTATTTTACCTGTGATTCAAGAACATCATTAAAAACTAAACATAGGCAAGTTGTGGGATGACTTAAGACTGCTTAGTTTCCTTGGAATTAGTAAAGATAAAAACGGGGATGATCGTGCTTTTCAAACCTGGCTGTGGACAGCTATTAGTTTGCATACAGGTCTTTGTGATCTAACACTAATGTAAAAACCCCATTCCCAAAGTTGATTCTAACACCATGGCTTACCGAGTAGATTTGCTCCATAGGATTTTGATCACCAGGCATTCACAGCACAATGGGTGGGTGGGTTCAAATTTGTTAAACCTTTTTAGTAGTTGAATGCAAACCACTTGCACCATTCAGGGACCACCACCAAGTGAAGGCCCTTAATGCACTTCACCTCAAATCTCTTGAACTACATGCATGCATTCTCATCAAAGTTAGAGTTTTTAGGATAGGCTCTGGTTCATCAAACAAGTACCAACTTTGAAATACTTTGAAAATACTGATGTAATAAGGTACTTAGGAGCTCTATTGGGCATTTGACTGTTAACCAGATGGATGGTGATTCAAATAGACCAGTCACTCCCTAGGAAGAAGACCCAGCAATCTACTTCTGTAAAGATACCACCTCAGAACCCTAAGGAGAGGTCACTATATTAATGGATTTGACTCAACAGCAGTTGAATTTGGGTTTGGTTTTTTGTTAAGGTACTTAAGTGATGTGATGTTACCTGAAAACAAAAACACATCTACATGTCAGAATCCCTAATTAGAAAAATAAATTTAGTACCGTATAAACCACATTCCTCATCTCTCTCACGTCAATCCATCCTGTCAGGTGGTTTCCTTCATACTATGGTATTAAAACTGCAAACAAGGACATCTAGTGAGTGTCATTCTTGATCTCTCAGCACCATTTATATTTATAGTCAATGTCCTTCTTGAACACATTTTCTACAAACAGCTTTTTTTTTTTTACCTCCTAAACCTCCTTTCCTGCACCATCCACTCTGCTCTAAGTCTGAATGCTGCCTTCTGATTGTACACAGTCCTGGGTCTCCTTTACCGATAAGCTCATCCTTCTGAGTCTCATTGGCTTTAAATGCCATCTTGATGCTTATCTCACAAATCTACATTTATCAGTTCTGACTTCTCTCATTTGCTCCTGACGCCAGTATTCAGTTGCCCACCTGACACTTGCACTTGTGTCTATCTACAGTACCTCAAATTTAACATGGCAAAAATAGAACCCCTGAATTTTAACAAATCTGTTTTTTCCTTAGTTTTCCCTGAAATAGGACCAAACGTGGGTCCCTGCTTTACTCAGTTTCATTCCCTAACTCAGAAAACACTATTTACACAATTGCCAAGAGGGCAAAAACTTTGAAATCATCTTTCATGAACTCTTTTCCTCACACCCAAAGCCAATTCATCATTTCTGTTAATTCTACCTTCAATATAAATCTTGACTAGGTTCAGTCATCTTTTCAATTACAACCATTGGGTCCAATATACCACAGCGTCCTACCTGGGCTTCTTAATGGGACTTCTGCTACGGCTTCTTAATTAGACTGCAGTTTCTAAACTTCTTCACTTATAAATCAGTTCTCCAGGTAGCAGCAAATATTTAAGACAGCAAATCGGATCATGTCAGTCCCCTGTACAAAATCCTCCAAATATTTATCACACACAGAATAAAATTCAAGGTCCTTATTGTGGCCTACCATCTGGCTCAGGGTTATTATCGCCTACAATTCTTTACAGCAGGCTATTTCTAGCCACACCAAACCACCTTTCTGTTCTTTAATGCTAAGGCCATTTCTACCCTTACTTTCTCTACCACATCTGTATAGATTACTTCCTTGTTCATTGTCTCTGCTCAAATTTCATTTTTTCAGAGGCTTTCTCTATTACCCAATCTAAAATAGTTCCTTCTTTGCCAATGTTAACTCTACTTAACCCTCAATTACTACTTTCTATCCTTTTATCCTCTAATCACTACCTGAAATTACAGTTTTATTGTCTGTCTATTCCAAAAGAATGTAAACTCTCTGAGGGTAGAAACTTTGGCTTGATCACTTACTTAAGTACTTGTTGAGTAATTAAATAAGTATATTTAAAAGTACTTTATAAAATGTAAAGTCTTAAGTACTTCACATTTTTTTGTAAGGGGGTATGATATAGATAAAACACAAATGTTGGGTATGACTGATTAGCACTACAGTTGGCTCTGTTGTTAACTTTCCTTCCAGAAAAGTATAAATTATAAAGGGCCAACTCAAATCCTTGTCAAAGCCCATCATCTAAGGAAATAGGGGACAGAACTGCATAAGCACAGAAAGTCACAATTTTCCCAGAAACCAAGCCTTTCCCATCATTTTCATATTTCAGCCCAGCATGCTTCATTCCTTCTTATTTTTGTGGCCTGGAGTATTTAAGTTTAGAAGCTCTTGAATAGTATGCATAAAACATGTCTGCAACTTATATCTTAAAAAAATATATTCCATAAATGATCCAAATATATCTTCAATTTAGAAGATATGGATTCAGTAAAATGTAACGTTATGATACTGTACAATTTAGCTTCTCTGGAAGTACAAATGGTCAAAGAGTTCAGCTGCTAACCTTAACGGTCAGAATCCACTAGCTGCTCTGCTGGAGAATGTACCTGAAGATCTGCTCCCGTAAAGATTAAAAAAGCCCAGGAAACTCTATGCATTCCACTCTATCATTTATCATAGGCATATATCATATATATCATAATCATATATCATAGGCAGTTCTACTCTATAAGGTCACTAAGACTCAATGACACAGCACTACCACCATAATGACTAATAAGGATCAGGAAGTTAGAAAGCATTTTTGTCAGTCTTGGTTCTTAAAGTTTCAATGTTCAGTGATAACAAATACTTGCATTGTCATTCAGAGCCAAATAAAACTTACTATCTTTCCTCCTTAGGCCTGTTCTTCCATGACTCTAATTTTTTTTAAGGATGCCATATTCTACCGACTTAATCAATGTAGCCATTTACTAGTTGTGTGACTCTAGTGCAAACTTACCCAAGTTATCGCATTTCTCTGTGGTCTATGAAATGGGGATAAAATATCATTCTTAAATATGGTTGTGAGGTTTAATTAAAAAAAAAAAATGCACAGAGTACTTCAAATTGATCTTGTACAGTACACACTCAACACATTATCATTTACCGATCTGTCTCTCTTGTTGTTATGTGCTGTCGAATCGGACCCAACTCACAGAGACCCCTCCTTGGGATAATGAGGCGGTATCACTACTGAAGTAGATTGCCCAACCTTCCTTCCAAGGAGTGGCTAGGGAGTTTGAACCATCAGCCTTCTGGTTAGCAGTCAAGTGCCTTAGGCATTATGCTACCAGAGTCTCTACATCCTATCAATTCAACCTCTTAAATGGTTCCTCATCTCCATTTAGCGCTCTCCATGACTACTGTCATTTTAATAGGATACGGATACAATTTACATCAATTGTTCTGGAAGTTATCAATCTTTGTGGAACTTGTCTAAAATAGAGACAGGATTTGGTACTCTGCCGGCTTTCTGATGTCAACCTTAAGTTAAACGTTTCAACATCAGAAATTCCTTAGCACCTTCCTGTAACATAATACATAGATCATTTTTCTTTTGTTTTCGTTAAATGCACCAGTGTCATCCAACTGGCTCTGAACAAGGACTTTAGACAAAGAAAAAGTTACTGTGTAAAAATGAGTTACTTTAAATGTTTAAAATTCTAACAATTTCACTAAATGATTTCTTCCATCCTCTTTTAACTGAGGCATGAAAGTTAAGTAACCTGTCTACAGGTGGCTGGCTGGCTAGCTAGCTAAGTGAGCCCAGGTGTGTATGATTCCCACATTGCCTACCTTTTACTATAACCACCTGCAATTTGCCACCAGGCACACTATGTTCTAATCCAGGGATTCTTAACCTTAAGTCCATGGAACTTTATTTAAGTGGATTTGAAAGTGTTAAAAGAAAGAAAATTTAAGGTAAAAATCATGACCCTTGTAAAAGATATAAATACAAAGCAAACAATGCACATCAATAATTAATGAAGGAACCAGGTATTTAAAAATCAGTTCAAATGAGAACTCAAAAAGCAGACATATATACAGGCAATTAGGATTGCGGAAATTAATTTGCTAATAGATGCAAAAGTGATCAGGGCAACAATTTCACCTCCACTGGAGAAATCTAATTTCATTAGCAGCTTTCTACAGCTTACACTCTAAATGACAATGAAAGGCTAGGTGGAAGATGAGCTAAACAAGTCACCCGGTAATTTTTTTTTTTTTTGCCATTTTAGGGTTTTGCAAAATTTTCCTGACAAAATTCCAGAGGGGCTTATTCATAGCTGTCATGACATTTTAAAGTCTTTGCTTGAGTCTTCTGGTCGTGTCTTAAAACCCCAATGGAACCTCCAAC